GAGGCATCCCAACCCCACAGCAACCCTGCCTTTGGGCTCCTTTTCCAAGGAAAATGGGGATGGAGGGGATGTGGAGTTCCCCACCCAAACAAGGGCCCACTCAGCACGTGCAGAAGGAGGCACCAACCTTCTTGTTGTTCTTGTTCTTCTTGCTGTTGTGAGCCTCCCAAATTATTTCTGACTTATGGCGACGGGATGTACTAAAACAAAGGACAGTACTTGCCCACAGAGAAACCATACTTACCCATAGAGAATCACTGGAAAATACTTGCCCATAGAAAATCATGGGCAATACTTACCCATAGAGAATCAAGTAAGTAATCCCCATGGTTTTAATCTGTTTAAATTTAATTTTAATAATGTTTTAGTTGTTCCCTGCTTTTAATTAACTTTTATTTTAGTTTACCTATTGTTTTGTATTTTTAGATTGTACGCCTTTGGCAGGTTATTATTTCATTTTTATGCTTTGATTATATCTTTGTACAGCGTTGTGTACATTGACAGCGCTTTAGAAATAAACTTTAATAATAATAATAATAAGAAGAAGAAGTACTGTCCTTTGTTTTAGTATGTCCCTATGGAGACCATTAAGCGAATCTCATTGTTTTGTAGCCCCCTCTGAGGCTAGTTGAAAGGGAGAAGTTGGCAGCCTGGGCTTTCCTAGACTTCCGTCTACTTCCTCAGATGCATTTGGTGTGCCACAAGGTCTCTTTACAGACTGATTTTGACACACGAATACGGCTGCGTCCCTGAATTGTACAGTAGCTGGTTGTTGCCGCGCGCCTTCAAGTCTTTTCCGACTGAGGCCAACCCATCCTGAGGTTTTTCTTGGCAAGATTTGAGGCTGAGAGAGTGTGACGCGCCCAAAGTCACTCAGTGGGTTTACAATAGCTGAGCAAGGATTCGAATCTTGGTCCCCAAATCCTAGTTCAACGTGCAAACTGCTACCCCACCCTCGCTCTCCGAGGCGAACCTATATGATAGGGTTTTCTTGGCAAGTTCCTCGGAGGGGGGTTGAGAGAGTGTGACTTACCCCACCCACCCCCGTTCTCCAGAGTCCGTAGCCCCAAGGCCGCGAGGTCCTCACCGCCAAGGAGGACCAGGCACCACAAAATGGAGGACCTGCCAGAAAACACGGAGGACAAGCCCCAAGAAGGAAAAGCTCCAAACGCTCCTAGAAATAGAAACCCACGTTTCTTAGTCCTGTTCCAAACTGAGAGTCTTTGGACAGAGGATGGAAAGGGAAGATAGATCCTGGAAAAGGAGGACCTATAAAGTCTGGTCACCCTGAATGGAGGGCATTGGGGGAATTCCTCCTGGACAGAAGGTGGAAAGGGAGGGCAGGTCCAGGAAAAGGAGGACCAAGTTGGGTCACCCTGAATGGAGGACATGTGGGGAATTCCTCCTGGACAGAAGGTGGTAAGGGAGGATATGTCCAGGAAAAAGAGGACCAAGCCTGGTCACCCTGAATGGAAATTCCTCCTGGAGAGAAGAAAGGTGGGAGAGGGGGGTCCCGCGCTCGCTTACCTGGTGGCCTTCCTGACGAAGTAGGAGCGGGCGAAGTCCCCGTGGTCATCCAGCCAGGCTTCCAGCGCTTCCTCTTCCTTCTCGTTCTCGGCGGGGAACCGGGAGCCGCCTTCTCCTTCTCCTTCTCCTTCTCCTTCCATGGCCGGCGCTGCCTCTTTGGCGCTGGCCAGGAGACCTCCTCCTCCTCCTCCTCCT